GTCGTGGAGCTGCTCGCTGGGGGACAGCCCCTGGCCCCGGGGCTGCCCATGCAACCGTTCCCACTGGCGTTTTTGTTACGGGAGGGCTCGTTCAAATTGCTAGCTGGGAGAGCTCCCGCTCACCGGGTGCCAGGCGGTGGGTTTGTGACGTTAATGACCGGAGCCCACAAGTCACAGGAATCACAGCAGAGCCTGGGGTTGCTTTTTTTCTCCTGCCAATTTTTCTATATTTGCTTATGTTTCTCACATGCATGACTCAATCCTTGCCGAACCTCAGGCCTCTCGCTCTCAGCTTTTCCTCCCGGCCCCGCTGCAAGCATCCCGTGATGTGGAGACTGAGTATTTGTTTTCTTTTCCTTGCAAACATCGGTTTCTGACCTGCTGGGGCATTGGACTTTCGGAGTAAAACACGGTCACTGCCCCGGGAGTCTCTGTGCCGCGGGGCAGAGGGTGCACGCTGGTTCCTTCTCCTCGGTCTCGAGCAGATGGGTTGGATTAACTTCCAAACCCAAGATTCCGAGTAATGAGGAATTCAGCGCATCCCCAGCAGCTCACGAGCTCTTTACTCCTCATCTGCATGAGTGAAGCTGCATCTTCCAGGCAGTACATCTTGGTTTGCGTATTTCCTAGAGCTCTGCTTTTGGAAACTGGTGGTTGGTTTTTTGTTTTGGTTTTTTTTTTCTATAATCAAGTTATCTTCAGGCATTCTTCTGTTAATCTAAATTAATTATTTAATCTATGGTAATAATCATAATGACTCCTTCTAGACTTTGAAGTCTGTTCACTGTAAATGCATTTCACTGGATGTGATACAATCTCTGTGTCATGCATGTGGATCTCTACTGCAGTTCGGGCTAGCAAAGTGGATGTGATGTGAATGCCCTGGAAAGGAACCCAGAAGTCTGTAGGATTTTAATTACTGCAAGCCTTTCATTTTGTACTGATGTATTGCTGGTTTTCTTTGCAAAACGCCACACAGCCAGATGGTGTTAGGCTGTTAGGTGTAATTTAGCTTCTGTCAGTACATAGCGCAGCCTGTGTGTACAGCTGGGCAAGTGTTTAAGAGGGATCTCCAAGGGAAAATGCCATGCGAGCCCTCTCTGGGATGCCGGGAGCCCTCTGCACCCATCCTCTGCAGGACCTTCACCTCCCGGCTGGAAGCTTAGCAGCAAAGGGCACAATGGAAACAAGCTCCAAGGAAGCTGTTGCGATTAAACTGTCATGGTGGTATTAGCAATTCATCAAATTATCTAGATACTTGGGATTTTTCAGGCTGGGGGATAAAACTCTCTTTCACAGCTAACATACAATATAGTCCCTAAAATGTACAAGTCCATTGTTAACCAAGTAGGGCTGAGCCCTTAGAAACTGGTCATAAAAGCAGTTCCCACTGAGTGGGATGTGGTTTGTAAAGCCTTTACCCAGCTTGGGGCTGACCCTGACCTTGATCTTGGAGCAGCGTCACAGGAAAAGTCTCCACTTGAGAATTCCCAGTTGCTGGTGCGCGTGAGGAGCATCCGAGCTCTCCTCCACCTCCGGCCTCTTTTCAGCCCAATGAATGTTCCCCTTGTTTCTCCCCAAGAAGGAGCAGAGTTCGGTCTCCACGTGGCCAAGGAAATCTCTCCGCAGTCCTGCGACGTCTCGGTCTTACCCAGGACACTGGTGGTCTTTGGGATTTGGCTCAAGACATCAGTCCAGCTTTGGGGGCCCAGAGTTTGTCGTGTTGGGGAACTGTCTCTCCTGGCCAAATACAGATTTGCGATACCAATCAGAAATGTTGAGCCGCCAGGGTTGTTCCTCAGTGGTACGTGCTCAAGCATCTCTGCAGGGTTGCCTATAAATCCATATGTCAATACAAACCCTATGCACTCTGCACTGGGGGGCTCCGTGTTCCTCATGGAATATTGCAAACCCTGTTCCAGCCAAAGAAATTACTTCCAATGCTTTATTTTATTTTATTTTTCAATCATGCTAATGCTGCTGTGCAACAGACTGAGGTCAGAGTCTTCACTCCCCCAGTGATTTTTTGGAACATGCAGCACAGCAAAGTACATGTAGGTTAAGAGTCTAAGTGTGGAGCCTCCTTCTCAACACCAAAAGGTTATTTCTTTGAATTAAAAACAACAACAAAAAAAAAAACCAAAACAAAAAGCCCTCTGATAATTTACCAAAGTTGCAGACATTTACAAAAAAAAAAAAAAAAGTCTTTTTTCCTCCCTTTAATCCCTCAGGATCTCAGGAAAGCCTGCAGAGGTCTGAGAAGCGGAGGGAAAGATGGGAACAGAAGCAGCACAGGAAGAGGAGAATAAAGCAGCGCTCCATCAGCAAGGAGAAGTGGGTGGAAACGCTGGTGGTGGCAGACACCAAGATGGTAGAATACCACGGGAGTGAGAACATAGAGAAGTACGTGCTGACCGTGATGAATATGGTGAGTCCCGGTCCTCTCAACAGCAGAGCTGCCATGTCCCCGGGGACGCGGCTATGAGACATAAAGACCACTGGGCTTGCCAGGACTCATCCCTGGTGGGACCGCAGCAAACCTCTCACCAGACAGGCTGTTCCCACCCGCGTGTTGGTTTTTCTGCATTGCTCAGTGTTCCAGCTGCCGGAAGAAGACGAGTCAGTGTCAGCAAGCCCAAAGCCAAAATCTCCTTGTGGACAGGAGCAGCTCAGCCTGCAGTGGTTTCACCTTCCCCATGGGGCTCCAGGGCTGATCCCTTCTCCTTCCCTCCTGGGGATGGATAACGGTACCCCGAGGACAGAGATGCTGCAGGGAAGGGAGGTGGTGAATGCTGCCCACGGTCATGCTGTTGCCATAGCAGTTCTCCCCGGGTGGGCGTGCTGGCAACTTGGGCATGGGGACGCAGTTGAAGCCAAAACCACCCCGAAGGCTGCGCGAGGGCCACTAAACACATCTATTAGGAGGGAAAGCAGTGGTGTTCCCCAGGCATTTCTGGTTGAGTTTCAATGTGCTACACAGATTATATCGATTTTAAATTGATGTCATCGCACTCCAAGCGCTTTAGTCCAGGTCTGCATCTGGTCTTGTCTTTAATTTTGGGGAATTCCCCGAGATGTTGTCAACAACCTTCAGTAGCTTCCCCTCCAGCTCACGTT